GTACTGTGGACTGGCTCCATTAAGAAAAGGAGACCACCCTGGCTCCAATAAGAACTTGTTCTGTGACCTGAGGGGGACCATGGCCTCTCCCAGGACCTCGGCTTCTGCAGACAGGCATGGTAGAAGACCTTAGACTTGAGCTCTGGTATCAAGCACTTAGGTTGAACTCAAGGGTTAGTCATTACTGTGGAGTATTATTGATAAAAATGTAAAGGATGCTGGAGGATTTTCTAGGACAATTGCTTCTCCCTACCCCAACATTCCCAACCCCATAAGACACAGGCCAAATGAGTGGTGGTGTTTGAGGAAATCCACAAACCTTCCTATCAGGCAGGGCCCTATGCATCCCCAGCAGGCCTCTATACCCCCTCAGAGGCATGTCAGAGGTTGGGGTCAGACAAGGGCCTGGATCGGTTCAGACCTGAGTCCCCTCTTGTGACTATAAGAAAGTGCTTTCCTTCTCTGGACCTCAGAAACAGTGTGTCCCTGGATCCCAGAGCGGGCTGGTGTGTAAGGAAGGCTGGTAGTTATGGTAAGGACCCACTGTCACCCCAGGGGTCAGAAGGATGGGAATACAGAATCTGAAGAAGACCCAGCACATTTCTCATAAGTGTCTTTCTGCACCACTCCTCTGGCACCAGAAATTTTAAAAAATGGACTCTGAACCTTCCATCAAGGTTCTTGGACAGGGAAAGTCGGCCATTCTCAGGTGACAGGTATATACTGCCCTCTCCATAGCCCTACCTGACAGAGGCAAACCTGGTCCCTATACTTCAAATGCGGCATTTCAGCCTAGAGAAGTGGTAGGACTTGCCCGGGTCGCACAGCTAGGGTGTGTGGACAAGGGCCAGGTACAAGCCAGTCCTCTTCTCTCTTCGTCCCAGCTCCCTATTTCTCTCTGGGGACCCAAACAAAAGAGATCTGTCTCGATGTGTCAGCTGGAGACACCCAAAACCTACTTGGGTTCCACACATAGGGTGACAGCATGGTTTACAGTGGCCCAAAAGAATTCCCTGAGTCGAGGCCCAGAGAGGTTAGATGGTTTGTCAAGGTCACAGCAAGATGAGACACCTGTGTGTATCCCCTACTCACTGGAAGATTGGAAGGATAACCCTAGAAAACATAGGAATAATAACAATGCCAATAAGAAATTGTGAGGGTAACTCCCAATTGTGCCTGGGGTTGCACCAATTCATACAAACCTCTTATGAACTCCCCTATCCAGATTGCCAAGTGGAGGTCGAGTAACCCGCCCAAGATCACACAGGGAGAAATCTGTGGATCTTATGAGAATGGGGCGGGGGAGGCAGATCATGGAAGGACTGATTCACCCATCATGCAGAAAGACTCTTTGAGATTCCCAATCAGCCTCCTTCCTGTGTACACCGAGCCCAGAGAGATGAAGCAACGTGGCCAAGGTCACCAAGAAAATTAGAGCCACCTCCTTCTAACATGACCACACAAATTTTCATTTGATGCTCTCCAGCTATTTGAACTCCACAGCCACTGGGCACCAGGTGTGGGCCCACACTGCTTGTCCTAACAGCAACTCTTCATGCATCCCTAAGCAAGTGAGCAGCCCTGGTTTGGAACATCCCTACTGCTATAGAAAGAGCCATCAGCAACAGGAATAAGGTGCTACAGGACTGCCAGGTGCCAGCAAAGGGCACCACTGGCAGACCATGCATTTGGGCAAGAGCTGCTTGGTTTTCTGAGCTCCTGCCACACATGAACTTTTCCCATTGGAAGAGTAAGGAAATGCATAGCTGGGTGAGGAAATGTCCCAGAAAGCAGCAGCAAGCAGTGTCGGTGTCGGGGTGGACTCCAAGGATCAGGAAAGCCCACCTGGGGAGACTGTTATCGCTACTCCTAGCAGCCAACATATACTACAGATTTACAGGGTGCTTGGCCCAGGCTAGAATCCTAGCTCTGACTTATTGCTGCCCACCTGAAGCATGTTACCTAAATTCCTTGGGCTTGGGGTCCCCATCTGTGAAATGGTATGGTCGTGAGGGCAGAATGTATCATGTGTGCAAAGTCCTTCAAACACTGCCTGATACACTGGAACCCTGGAAGCACTGGTTATTAGTTTTTTATTGTTTCTTTTCTGTGGCTCCTTCCTAAAACTCTAAAGGCACAAACAAGTCAGAGAGTTTGTCCAAGTCACACAGCTAGGAATGCTAAAGCTAGAACTCAGCCCAGGCAGTCTGGCACCGAGTGAAGTTGTGTTCTCAACCACTCTGTTGTTTTCCTTAGTGACAGAAAATGCAAAGCCCTGGCTGCATGACTGTTCACCTCCTCCAAGTGGATCCCACACTGGCTTCATTTCCAGAAAAAGGATGCAAGGCATAGAAAAACAGACAATTTGCCCAAAGTCACCCAGGTAGAATCTGGGTCGGGGAACCAAACTGTCCTCCACTTTCCCCAGCCCAAGCCATGTGAGGTGCAGACGGTCCTCAGGGCTGGTGGAAAGGACTGCTGTCACAAATCCTGAGCCAGCGAGCAAGGCTGCCCTGCAAATTTCCATTACCCGTCCGACAGTACTACCAAGTGCCCACTGGCTGGGGTCCTGCAGATGGGAGGTGGCAGTCCAGCCACGGCCTCTTCCTCAAGGACCTCCCAGGTATAGGGAACAAGGGGAGACACGCAGTGGGCTCTAATCTCTTCTCACCTTCTGAGCAAGCACCTTCACCACCCTGTACCTCAGTTTCCCGATCTATAATAAGAGAACTGGTGGTGGCACAGGAAAAGGATGGAAGTGAAGCACTTAGTAGAGCCTGGCACACAATAAGTGATCAATAAATGTGGCTATTATCATCCTGATTACTAATTACAATGGGAAGGGATACAATAAGGAGAGCGGCCCTGGAGTACATACCCAGTACTTAACTCAGTCCAAAGTGACACTGCCTGAAACGTTTGGGACATAAGCACCAGGCTGGTTCTGGCATTGAAGGTGGGTATACCTCCAGATCAAAGGCAGATGGAGAGGAGATGGGGTGCTAAGAGGCTGGACATGTTCTCCCCTTCAAATTAGCAAACTGCTACCAGTAGTGTCCTCCTTTGCCTCTGACTACAGAGCCCCTTGCAATGGACTCACCCATTCCCACAATCCCCACTGTACTGACTGCTGAAGAAACAGAAAGAGAAAAGACACAGCTCACCTTCAGTGCCTGAGACAGTGACCATTCCTAATGCCAAAGAGGCACAGGCCCAGAAGCTGAGTCAGCCAGACACTGGAGAGACCAAAGCCAACAAAAGCATTCAGCCTAAGTCTGAATGTCACTGGAATCTTGCTTCTAGCTTACAAAGCCCTCTTCCACCTGCTCACTCCATGTGGGGGGCGCAGTGCTGGGGGACTACAGGTCTCAGGGGTCAGGTAGAGAGGATCAACTGAGATTTGCTACCCCTCAGCTGTGCATCCCAAGGAAGGAGCCTCACTTCTATTGTTCTCCAGAATCAGACAATGGAAACACTTGTAATTAAGTGCCAGGATGATGCTAAGTTTGCTCAAGGTCTATACAAACTCTCCTGGAAGTCCAGCCCCCCATATCCCCAGAGAAGATGCTTGGACCAGGTGAGGCCATGGGAGGCAGAGACACATCGGAGTGGCCCCACTGTCCAGAAGGCCCTATAGAATCCCTAGGAGGAGCCCCAGCCTGCTCACCCACCACTCGCTTATACACATTACAGATTTCTCCTCCAACTCCAGCCAGCAGGACTGGGGGCCAGGGAGAGCAAAGCAGGCTTGGGTGCTAGTACACAACACACACATGACCCCTCCGAAGTCCTCCAGCAACCCTGGGGTGGATCTGACTGAATTGTGGTTTGGATTCATTTGTGCAACATGTATTCATCACAGACCTACCAGAAGCCAGACCCAGTCTTTGCACACAGATCCAGCCCTGGGGAGCTCAAAGTGTAGGGGGAGGCAGACAATCTAATAATCTTCGGTGAAGTCACTTTTTCAAGCAAGCAAAAGGCATAATTATAATAGCTAACATTTATATAGCAATTATGGTTCACTCTCAAGTTCTTTACGTGTAAAATGGGGACTATAATAGTATCTACTTCCTGTGATGATTAAATGAGTTAACATGTAAAGTACTGAGGCAGAGCCTGGCATACAGTAAGAGCACAATACTGCATATGTTTATTACCATCAATCTACTTAGTCCTTCCAATGATCCTAGAAGGGTATGTGTAAGCTGCACATTTACATTTTGGGGTTTTGTTTTTTGTTTTGGAGGGGGCAGGGCCCTACTATGTTATCCAGGCTGGTCTCGAATTCCTGATTGAAACTATCCTCTTACTTCAGCTTCTGGAGTAGCTGGGACTACAACTGCTTGCTACCACAGCTACCCACAAGCTCTATTTCATAGATAAGAAAACTAAGAAATTATAGGATTGGAAAAGCAGAATGTTCTCTGGGGGAAAAAAAATAGAGGATGAGCTTTGGTGTTAATCAAGGTTTAAATCTTACCTCTTCCCCTCACTACTGTAAACTCAAGACTGATTTCATCCCTGCCTCACTTCCTCCACCTGCACAGTGGGTACAGTACTAATATCTTCGCAGTGAGGCTGTGAGCATCTAAGACAGTGAACGCAAAGCCACCAGAATGGTGTGGTGGCACAGGTCTGTAATCTAGCACTCAAGAACCTTGGGGAGGGGGACAGAGAGTTCCAGCCCAGCACCGGCTACACTTGCTCAAGACAGGCTTGAAATACCTAATGAGACCCCCGTCTTTAAAAAAAAAAAAATCAATAGAAATAGACCAACCCAGTGCCCCGCGCAGTGAAGCAGGTAGGTATTTGTATCGTGACCCATATGGGAAGCATTTGGTCCCTGCGGCCTGACCCAAAAGCTGAGGCGACCCTGGGACCACTGTAGTACATGCCGTCATTTACCAAGACCACAGGAGAGCACCATGTGGGGAGTCCCCACAGAAGGGGAGCTTTCCTCAGCACCCCTTGGACATCGACCCTTCTCGTCCCTGCAGGTTATGTCCCTCACTGCCTGCCCCCGAGCAGCTACGATGCCGACCAGAAGCCCGGCCTGGAACTGGCGCCCGCTGAGCCCGTGTACCCGCCGGCGGCGGCGGAGGAGTACAGCGACCCCGAGA